CTGTCTCTCTCTCTCTCTCTCTCTATATATCTACATATCTATCTATGTTACATCTTTTTCTGTAAATATTTTTATTGCACCCGTTTGACCTTTTTAGTAATAAATCTTTCCTTCTGAAAGCGTTAAACTGTTTCTATAGCGCTTTATTGCAATTTACAAATTCCTGCCTCTAAAGAGAACGCTACTGTGTTTGTTTAACCCTCTGTATAACCCTGGTATACAGACGATTACCTCAACCATTATAGTGTTATAACTGAGATCGCCGAGTTTCCTCTCTGTACAAAAAGGAGGTGGTGGCAGTGTGAAGGGTTAATTGCGTAATTAACTTGACCCAGTAACAATCGCTCAGGCTGCTGGTACATCGATTGTGGTCCAATTAGCTGGAAAATCATTGTGCAGGGCAGCTGAGTGTGGCATTGTTTCGCACGTGACATCGCGGTTTTAGATTGGCTAGTCCTTCGGTCACGAGTTTGGTGAGAAGGTCTAGGGTCTGACGCCGCGATCGTGACAGATGCCACCACATAAAGGAAGCTGGCGGCCATTGAAAAGGCTAAAAAGAGACAAAGAGTGAGAAGCTGCAAAGAACCAAGCAGCTGCCCCTATACCTGTCCCTGTGGCACGGGAGGCACGGAGAATATCCAGGAAGGACTTTAAGCCCTACCAAGAGCACACCAGAGATGTGTAAGGGTTCTTCCAGGACTTTGAATACCAATGCAAACTACTAGAGGTCCCATCCAAAGACTGGACTCGCCATGTGGTAGGGCTGCTTGATGGAGGGGCTGCTGAGGCCTACCGAATGATGGACCCCCTCAAGAAATGGAACTATGAGGAGATAAAAAGGGCCGTAATGGACTACTACGCAGTCTCATCCTATCGAGCCCAGTTCTGGACTACCCCCTGCCTCCCAGAGACCTCCTTCAAAATGTTTGCACACAAGTTGTTGGTAGCCTGTCGCCGGTGGCTGGAAGGGGAGAAGGCCACCTCCCCTGAGCAGATCATCCAGGCCATCCTGAAGGAACAGTTCCTTTTCAAGTGCCCCCCCCCCCCCCCCCGAGCTCCGACAGTGGGTGCGTGAGTGGAAACCTGCCACCCTCGAAGAAGCTGCAGCCTTAGCAGTTGAGGCTCTCAACGCACAATGGAAGAAGCCTGCTGCCAAGGCATCCCAAGCTGCCAGGATGCCCAATCCTGCACCAGTGCCCTACATGCCTCCCTATTGCCAGAGCCACAGCCCCTACTGCCACCTCGTAGCGGGGCCCCAGACCGGCCTTAGATAGGCGGTGTTTTGGCTGTGGACAGACTGGTCACCACCAGGCCAGCTACCCCGCCAAGAAACAGACTCTCGGGCCTAGCTTGCCCTGGCCGGTACACTATGTAAATCTGTACCAGGCTCCCAAGGACTTACCACCACCCCCCCTCCAGACTGAGATCTCGCTCCCCCGGACAAGGACACCCCCCCAGGAGTCTTTGGCCTACAGCCGGTGGGAGCCCCTACCCAGAGCCTCCAAGGAAAACACTTGCAAGAGGTCACTGTGGATTGACAAAAGGCGGTGGGATTCCGAGACTCAGGGGCCTTTCTCACCATTGTAGACCCCCAGAGTGGTGCACCCTGACGCTTTACAGCCTGGCCCTGGGATAGTGATCCAACTAGCAGTGAGCACCAAACGCTTCATCCCTCTTGCTACTGTTAATCTGTAATATGGCTTGGGGCCTAAACGCAGCCATATGGGTGTAATGGGAGAACTGCCTGCAGATGTGCTTCCTGGAAATGATGTGGGCGATCTTCAGTGTCACTTTGTTGAAGCCGTCACACGAAGTCAAGCCCGCCGGGAAACCGCTGAGAGAAAGGAGGCACCCCAGCATGTGGACAAACCTCCGCTACCTCAGTAACTCAACTTTGACTGCTGGCAATACTGGGGTGACATGGGACCGGGACAAGTTTCAAGGGGACTTAGCCACCGACCCTACTCTGACAAGCTTCTGGGCCCGGGTAGGGCTGACTGGTCCGGGAACTGGCAAAAGGATAGTGCAGAAAAATGGGTTGCTGTACCGAGTGGTGGAAGGGGGGCCCTAGACTGTGGCTAAACAGCTGATAGTACCCCAACAATTCCATACCCAAATGCTGCACCTTGCCCACGACATTCCGATGGCTGAGCATAAGGGAAAGCTATGGACCGAAAAGAGGTTGGCCCAGGCCTTTTATTGGCCTGGGATGTCCCAATTGGTAGCTCGCTACTGCCGTACCTGCGATACCTGTCAGCGACATGGAAGAACGGGTGGCCCTCTACAGTCCTTACCCATTATTGAGGAGCAGTTCCAACGCGTAGCTATCGACATTCTGGGAACCTTAGCTCGCCCCAGCGGACCGGGAAAGCAGTACATCCTGACCATTGTCATCTATGCTACTCGTTATCCCGAAGCAGTCGCCCTGTCCAGCATCACAGCTCCCAAAGTTGCAGAAGCCATGGTTACTGTCTTCACACGAGTGGGCTTCCCTACTAAAATCCTGTCAGATTGGGGGACTCAGTTCATGTCAGGCCTTGTTCAGTCCCTCTGGCAAACCTGTGGAGTGCGGTCCATCCGGACAACCACCTATCACCCCCAGACAAATGGACTGTGTGAACGCTTCAACGGGACCCTGAAGGCCATGCTACGGGCCTTTATAGACTTAGAGCCAGACTGGGAACGATACCTGCCCACCTCCTCTTTGCCTACCGGGAGGTACCCCAGGAATCTACCGGATTTTCTCCCTTTGAACTGCTGTATGGGCGGAAGGTTACCCTACTGAAAGAATACTGGGAGGGTCAACTACCAGATACTGGGGTCCCTGTGGTGCCCTATGTCTTGGAACTGTGTGAAAGGATAGGACAACTAGCCAGCCTCGCAGCTGACCATCTCCAAGCAGCCCAGCCCGAAAAAAGACATGGTATGACCGCAAGGCCCACACCTGGGAGTTTACTAAGAACCAACAGGTCCTCATGATTGTCCCAAATCCCCAGAACAAACTGCAATCCACATTGGAGGGACCCTTCCGAGTCATTAGGAAAGTGAATGACACTAACTATGTTCTTGGACTAGATGATCGGGGGAGACGGCAAAAAATCGTGCATGTCAATATAATCAAGGAGTACCATGACCAAAACTCCCTTGTTATAGCCATCTGCCCGATACCCTGCAAGGAGGATGAAGAGGCCGTACTGGATCTTCTGGAAGCAACACGCCATCCAACTGATGTGCACCAGGTGCCCCTGGGTCTGCAGCTGAACCCAGGACAACAGAGGGCCATGAATGATATCCTGGGGCAGCGCAGTTCCGTTTTTTCTGCCCAGCCTGGAAAGACCACTATTACCACTCACCATGTGGAGACCCTGGGAACCTGGCCCCTCCAACAAGCTCCATATCATGTCCCCGAAGCCGTTAAGAACACTATGAGAGAGGAACTAAACGAAATGCTGGATCTGGGAATTATTCAGCCCTCCCAGAGCCCCTGGGCCTCTCCTGTTGTTCTTGTCCCCAAGAAAGATGGCAGCATCCGCTTTTGTGTTGACTAGCAATGCCTCAATGACCACACGGTTAGTGATGCCTAGCCAATGCCCCGTATTGATGACCTTCTGGACTGGCTGGCTGGAGCCTGCTATGTCACTACCCTGGACTTGAGCAAGGGCTACTGGCAAATCCCCTTATTCGCAGAGGGTCAGGAGCGCTCCGCCTTCATCACCCCCTTCAGTCTGTTTGAGTTTCTCAACATGCCCTTTGGCATGAAGAATGCCCCTTCCAGCGCACGGTGGATCAGCTGCTGCAGGGCTGTCATGACTTTGCCTGCGCCTACCTTGATGACATCACCATCTTTAGCAAAACCTGGGAAGGCCACCTCAGGCATGTGAGCCTTGTCCTGGATTGAACTGCAGGGGCCAACAACCTCACCATTCGACCAGACAAGTGCCAGATGGGGATGGCGGAGGTGCAATATTTAGGACACTGGGTGGGAGGGGTAAACAGAACCGGCTAAAATAGAAGCCATCAGGGAATGGTCCACCCCCCCAGACTCAAACAGGTTACGGCTTTTCTGGGCACTGCTATTACCGCAAATTTGTTCCCCATTTCAGCACAATTGCGAAACCCCTGACGGATCTCACAAAGGCGGCCATGCCCTGGATGGTAACCTGGACCCCGGCCTGCCAGACTGCTTTTGACCTGCTGAAAGAGGCCCTTTTTCATGACCCCGTCCTAGCAGGGCCCAACTACCAGCGAAGGTTCCACGTGCAGATGGGCAGCCTCTACTTATGGGCTGAGGGCCGTCCTCAGCCAGGTAAATGAGGAGGGGGAGGAGCACCCTGTGGCCTTCCTTAGCAGGAATCTACTAGACCGGGAGGTCGCCTATGCCACCATAAAGAAGGAGTGCCTGGCCATAGTGTGGGCGTTGAAGAAATGTCAACCCTATTTGTATGGCCGGGAGTTCACCATCTTCACGGACTATAACCCCTCACCTGGCTGAATCGGGTCTCAGGGGATAACAGCTGCTGTTGCCATGGTAACCCGACGCTGTCTCGGGTTACCACGGCAACGCGCAAAGCAAGAAAGCAGTTGGGATATTGTAACATATATAATCTTATCCCAATATTTGTAGGTACTTGGCTTTAAAATTCCCTTCACCCTCCCTGCTCGCAATCTTCTGGGACACATGACAGCTCCCAGAAGGCTACGGGACCATTCAAAAAGCGCACTGCTGCTCGCACATGCACAGTGGGAAGCCAGCTGTGAAGCCGCAGGGAACCAAAGCTGGCTGCCCACAGTAAACATGCAAGCGATGGGGACCCGAAAGCTGGTGATGAACCAGTTCGGTTAAGGATAGCGCTGGATCCCTAGACAGATACATGTCCTTTTATTAAAAGTCACCAGCTACAGTATTTTGTAGCTGCTGACTTAATTTTTTTTCAAACAGGGTGAAGAACCGCTTTACAAATGAGGCAATATACATCTACTGGCATTCTGGGAATACTCACCAAACAAAGCTCCAACTGGTCACACAAGGCATAGAATTCCTCCAAGCTCTTATCAAACCTCTGAACTGGGACATCTGAAATTTTCCTGTGTGAGAAGAAAAAGGAGGTGAGTACAGAGCACTCACACAACACACTTCTGGTGAGAGAAGAGACAGGAGAGAAGCACAGAGCAGACACACAGCTTCATACCTGAAAGAGAAGAGCTGGGGCAGAGGGGGGGCGCGCATACAATTGGTACTTGTTGAGATAGAGAGCAAGAAAGCAAACAGACAGGAGGGGAGCACAGAGCATACACAATGCACTCTTCTTGTGTGAGGGAGGAGACTGCTGGTAAGCAGAGAGCAGGCACACAGCACTCTTCCTGTGAAGCAGAAGTGATCGGATGTGAGCACAAAGCATACCCACTGCACTCTGTTCTGTGCCCACACTTGTCTCTTCTCTTACAGGTAGAGTGCTGTGTGTCCGCTCTGTGCCTCTCATCTCTTCTCTTACAGGAAGACACACAGCACTATTCCTGCAAAAAAAACAACAGTGGAGCACAAAGCATACACATTCCACTCCAGAGAGAAAGGGAGTAAAAAAACAAAAAAAAAACCTCCAAAAACAAAAAAAAACACAAAACAGACAAGAGGGGAGCACAGAGCATCCATATGGCACTCTTCCTTTGTAAGAGAAGAGATTGGTGGCCAGTACAAAGCAGGTATAGAGCAATCTTGTATGAGAGACAAAAGACTATGTGAGCACACAGCATTCAACACAGCACTCCTCCTGTGAGTGAAGAGACAGGAGGAGAGCACAGAGCTAACACAATTAACTCTTCCTGTAGGAGAGAAGATAAGCAAGGCAATTAGAAGCCATATACTGCAACGCGTGCATGTCTTTTTTTCTCTCTTATATAGCACCGTCAATTTATGCAGTGCATATGCATGTATATATATATATATATATATATATATATATATATATAAATAAAAATAACATTCACATCGATCCCTAACTCTCAAGGGGTGTACAATCTAAAGGTCCCTAACTCACATTCATACATACATGTACTAGGGCCAATTTAGACAGGAGCCAATTCACCTACCAGCATGTCTTTGGAGTGTGGGAGGAAACAGGAGTACCCTGGGGAAACCCACGCAGGCACAGGGAGAAAATGCAAACTCCAGGCAGGTGGTGCCGTGGTTGGGATTCGAACCAACGACCCTAGTACTGCCAGGCAGACGTGCTAACCATGTAGCCACTATGCTGCCCCAATCAAACAACATTACAAAAATACACTTTTGTAAAAAAATAAAAATAAAATGCAAAATAAATCACCCCTACCCCATTCTTACTAATTTCTGCAGAAAACATGATTCAGCCCTGGTTCACACTGATGAAGTATGGAATTCACAGCGTTTTCTGTGCAAATTCCGCACCGCATCAGAATAGCACCCCGTTCATGCAAACCACTGTGGGTGTGAAAGCGGTCCACAAAGCGCGGTGCGATGTGCAGAATCGAATCACATAGGTGTGAATACCTATGCAATCTGATTCTAGTTTGGACCAAAAAAAAGGGTCCTGCACCTTTCTGGTGCAGGTGGAGTGTAATTAGAGCCATACAAAATGTATGGCTCCAATCGCACCGCACATGAATGCGATGTGGTTCCTGTGCGAATAACATGCGATATACAGCACCGCATATATGTGAACCCAGGATCAGTATAAATAATTTATCAATGCAAACAAGATTCTGCATATAATAAACTATGCTCAAATCATAACCGGTCTCCCAACATGATTATACAATTACAATCAAGAACAGTATTGCATCAGAACACAGGACGTACTTCATTAAAATAAACCAATAATGATCATGGTTATATAACCCTGATAACATTTACATTCTACTCAGTGCAACTCAAAAGCACAGCGTACTTCATAATAAACAGAACAGATTCCTGCTAATCAAATCAAAGAAAAAGCATTATTCATCCAATACAAGGACAATAAATGTACTATCTTCTTAGCATTAAAAAAAGTCTCCAATGATAAAAGAAGATATTTTTGGTGAATGGCTAGCCACAATAGGCAAGTGTCTGCCTGACATCAACAGATGAGAAGTATTCTGTCTAGAGATAGAATCCATCACTGCCTCTCAGGCAAGTTGACCATACCCTTGGCAGGATTGGCTAGGCTGCAGTTTGGAGATTCTGTAAGCAGTGATGGCCTCTGACTGTTAGAGGCACTTATTTACACCCCTGGGACTGAGCCATTTATGATACAAGTGCCCCCCTTAAACCAGGCAACATCTAGAATCCATAATCTGCCAGAAAGTGCTATAAAGCAGAAGTAACTTTGGTAAATAAACATTTGCCAGCAGGCAGGGCTTTTTGATAGGAGAAACCTTTTGACAGCAGTATATAGCGGTCTTGTGAGTTCCATCAGTGTCCAGTTGAGCACTGGTTAAAGCTTGTAGAAGTTTTCATTCTGCTAGCACTGTCCTATGAGGCTGTATAACCCCTGACCCTCTATCTTAACAGTGCAGATTGGCCCTGTGCTGATCACATACACCCTCCCAAAGAAAGAAAAACGGAAAACTAAGCAATACACACTAAATTGAGCATGGGCAGAGTGACTCCTAGAACTCTGTACTATCAGCAGATGGATTGGGGACAGTAGAAGGGGAGGATCCGAGAAGACAGGATCAAAAGAGCTTTTTTACATAATGAGGAGGATTAACACCTTAGGTTCCACAGTGAAAATAATAAGCATTCTTTACTGCATATACAGACTGATTTTACTGTTGTGGGTTTAGTAACATTAACTCAAAAAGAAGCTTCTATTGTGCTCAACCACCTTCACATCTCGAAATCCAATATTTTATTTTTTAGCTGCTGTGATCCCACTTCTTGCTAGAGAGCAGCCACGTTTGTTCTTCAAGATCCCACTGTGTAGGAAGAAACCTAACCACCCTCTCTTGCTCACTTCTGATATAGACTAGGGACTATAGGATCTACAGTGTTAATAGAGCAGTCCATATGACCGAAACTAGCATACACTACTCATTCCAAACAAAGCAGAAGTGAGGGGAAAAGGAGAGGCTCAAGAGCTCACAGAGGATGTTACAGTGAGGCAGAAAAACAAAGAAACACTTTAATAAAAAACAGTCTACCTGGCCATTAAGCAGCACTGGAATGAAGGGAAGGCAGAAGACATAAGCCACCAAACGGGTGGGTACAAGAGCTGTTTCAACAGGCAAAAACGATTTTGACTTTTTTTAAAGTGACTAACGGTCACTTTATTGAAATCTCTTCTGTTTAAAAAAACATTCTTAGACAAAATACATGTATGAGTTTTACTTGCACATAGAAGAGAAACTAGTGTGCAGTTCAATAACTGACACCCTCACATTGAACATTTAACCATCAATGTCATGTTGATTCCCAAACACACAAAAAAATAAAAGGAGCTCAGAGAAAGCATACCGCAACTCTTCCTTCCCGAAAATTGTTTAAATGTGAAATGGTTCAGATCAGCCATAGAAAGGAAAAAAAAATAATATAAAAAAAAATCTAGACATGGTTCTGGTGGTAAAAAAAAAAAAAAAAAAAGGACACATGGATGTATTTTTTTTCTTAAGAACAGAACAAAGTGTTTTTCAAAAGTACTTGTCACTGTGGTTATGGGGAGAGTTTAGATAGAAATTGCGTTTAGTGAACTTCTCTATAAGACGCGGGAAATCCAGCCTAGACTGTTCCCAAACATTGCATAAGTGGAAGAATCTTTAACCAAGTAAAACACACATTGCTAAAAAGAATATTGCACAACTGAAATAAAAAATGAATGCGTCAAAAATAAAATAAAGGCAACACCATTTCCAAAATCTGATTGAGTAAGGGAGGGTTATGACCCATGACTTTTTTCCCCCCATCTTTGTCTCATTGGGAAGGGGGTGGGGGGAGGCTTTCCCTTCACTTTCTGTCCTAGTATTACAACAGGAATTGAGAGGAAATATCCAAAGGGAGGGAATCCCTGTCACCAAAACTAGTGTCCCCATTGGAAAAATTTCACCTGTTCCGATTATGGGGACAACCCAAAATGTGGGTTTTGTTCATCCACTTTTGGCGACAAGACAGAGAGGGTGAATCTACCTAACAGGAGCACAGGCAGCAATTAAAAACTGATTTTTTTTACCTTTGATTATAATCAAAGTGGTTGTAATCCCTCACATATACCCAAATGAAGTGACTGGCCTCAGGTGATACACAGATGAATCAAATCCTCCTATATAAGTTGTACCTGTTTATTTGCAGCCACCTATCCTGTACAGCCTTCTAAAACTCAGATGAAAAATTATTTTTCATAGACCTACAAAGACAGGGGGCAGGGAAGCTGCAGTTACACACTGTACAAGAACTCAGCCGATTGGAGGGAAGGGACACACTTCCTCCACACAGCAAAAGAGCTGAGGCTGTCAATGAGCTGGAGGTCCCTCCCCGTCACCATTTTAGCTCTTGGTGTCAGGAAAACTTGTCAGAAGTGATTCATGTTGATAGCAAACGAGACAGCAAAAAAAACTAGAAAAGCTACAATTTCTGGGGAAATTGTGTGAAGTGTTCTTGCCTCCACCAGTAGTCTACAACTGGAGTGGGCGGAGTAACAGGGTGGAGTGGCTTGAGTGAAACAAAAACAAGAAACGCACCAACCTTGCGCATTACCTCAGTAACCAAAAATGTATTAATTAGAAAATGGTACTCACAAACAGCGAATAAAATCAGGCATGCAAGTCCTCAAAGGGACTTCAAAGATAAGGAGCCAGCGCGAATCCCATCATGGGGGTAGACACTCAGTACAGCTGACGCGTTTCGAAGGCCATGCCTTCTTCATCAGATCTCTGATTTTCTAATTAATACATTTTGGTTACTGAGGTAATGCGAAAGGGTTGTGCGCGGTTCTCGTTTTTGTTTCACTTTGCAGTATTGGTTGGGCTTCCCCAGCCCTTGTTTGAAGCTTCACAACCTTATATGCACTGGTGGTCGCTTTTTCCAGTTCTGGTTCCATCCATTTGCCACCCGCCTGGGTCCTGGAGCGCAGGAGAAA